AGTCTCTCTCGCACGTACACGGGGACGCCGACGAGTGCGAGAGAGACAGAGCGACGAAAACGACTTACTCTCGATAGCAGTCTGCAGTTCACCCCGTTCGGTCCGTCCGCGCAAGAAGCAAGAAGCGTCTCGCTCCAGGAGGCGCTTGCCGCGCTTGCCGCGCTTGCCGCTCGGCGCATTAGCCCGGTTGCATTAGCGGCGCTTTGCTCGCCGTTCGCGCGTCGCGCTTGCGTCACCATCCTCGTTCCTCGTGAGCTGGCTTCGGCTCGGGCCTTCGCCTTCCAGCCTTTTGGCTTCGGCTTTCGGCTTCGCAGGCCGCCCGGCCGCACCGCGTTCAAAGCGGAGCGGCGGGAACGTTTAAACGCGTGGCCGACCCGGCCCGGCCCGGCCGAGTGGCGGAGAACAGAAACCGATTCGAATCCGCAACACGGCGTCGTAAATATGCAAAGCACAACAACAACAACAACGCGAGACAAAGGCGGCGTGAGCCCCCCTTCCCCCCTCCTCGACGCCGACGTCCCGGTTCCCAGCGGCCCTCCTAGTGGCCGACGCGGTGCGGCATGTCGTCCAGCACGCGGTCAGTGGCGTGCGCAGAAACTTTGAAAAAAAAAAAAAGCGCGAGAGGTGTCTAGCAGTCAAGCCATGCTTTTTGCCTACTTCCAGGTGGATTGTGTCACAATTTGCCTTCCTTCTAGGCGGCTGTCTAGTCTAGTCCCCAAAGGGAGGGGTCTTGGGGGTTTCAGAATTGAACTCACAGCCAACTTCGCACTCAATCCGCCGTTCTCGACCTGTGCGCGACGGCCTGTCGCTCTGTCTCTCTCGCACCCCTGCGGGCTCTGCGGGCCCTGCGGGACGCCCCGCGAGTGCGAGAGAGACAGAGCGGCTGGCTGCGGGGCTGCGGGGCGATCGCTCTGAGGCCATCGGAGGGCTTTCTCGCTCCGCGCTCCGCCCGACAAGGACGTGTAATTATGAACCGTGCCCTTTCCCCCCGCCGGCCGGCCTGCCCGCGGCAGACTGATCGCTCTGTCTCTCTCGCACCCGTGCGGGACGCCCCATGAGTGCGAGAGAGACGGAGCGAGGAAAGCGGCTCTCGGAATCAGTGTGCCGGCCGGCGGGCTGCAGTGCTGCATTTGGCCGTCCGGCCGGACAAACAGGGGAAGTGGAAAGTGGAAGAGGAGAGTCGCCGGATAAACGGCCGGGGCATAGCGTCCCCCCCCCTCCCTCTTTTCGTGATTTATGCAAGTGAAACGGCGTGTGCCGGCCTGGTGTCGGCGTGCCAGCCAGGCGTCAGCAAGGTGTCGGCCCGCTGTCGGCCCGCCGCTGTCAGATGCAGCGTGCGACGCAATTATGCAGGCGACCCGAACGGCGCGGCGGCCTCGCGTCCCTGCAGCATCCACCCTTGTCGCACTCACCGAACCGGCGCCGCCCTCTCTGTTGCAGGACCAGAGCACCTGCAGCGATGGCTCTCTCCTCAGCATGGGCAGCTCCGACCTCGACGAGGTGAGTGTTCGGGGGTTGGTGCGTCGACCTGGCGGAGCTGCGTTTGGAAGACGGACTTCCTTGGTGCCCCGTGAAAGGCCAACCCCTTTGTGGCCCAAGAATGGATCCTGAGAAGGATTCAGGAGAAGGGGGTTCTTATGACGCACAGTGGGCCAGAAGACCGGTTGACGCGGCCAAATTCTTGAAGCGTTTTGAGCTCCAGAGTCTCTAAATTGGACTCGAACCAAACGAGCGACCCCAACAATGGATTGCTCTCCGAACGAGGAGTCCATTGGTGGGGCCACACGTTTGGTTCGAGTCCCATTTAGCGACTATAGAGCTCAAGACGCGTCTTGCATGTAGAGTTTTGGTCGCCACCACCACCGGTCCTCTGGCCCAGTGTGTGACGCCCCCATCGCCCTGCCCCTCTCTGGATCCGCGCCTCGCCGCGCCTGTCGTGGCCACTGCTAAGTGTGTTCGTGAAATGTCCGTTCCCCAGGACTCGTGCGGCCAGAGCTCCTCGCGGCATTCCTCCAAGCTGTCCCTGCAGGACAAGAGGAGCGCCTCTGCTGACGGCGGTAAGTCTCTCGGGCCTCTTTGGCACAACGAACAAAATAGTGCTTTGGATGACATTACTTTCCCTTTTCAAGCGTGCGTAGTTTGCACTTGGAATCAAGCGTCACAGGCACGTCCGCTCATCCCGCTATGGCTAAATTCATGGGGGATTCCTTGTCTATGCTTTAATCCAAGTGGGACAATCTTCAAGTGTGAGTGTATGCTTGGCTGAAGCGTACAGTTCCACTTCCGATTTCCCAGTGTGCGCTCTGACACTACTGACGCTGGCTTTGCTGTCCGCAGACCTGGAGCTGGCCGTCAACACGACCCCCCTGAGCCACAGCGCCGCGAGGCACAAGATGGCCGTCAAGCCCAAGCGGACCCACGGAGCGCCGAGGAGAAAGAGGATTCAACAGGTAGGCAGTGTGGAGAGGAGGGACAGTCCTAGCCCTCCGGCCCCCACACTGGTCTAGAGGACTGGAGGCGGCCAAATTTTTTTGAGTCGCTAAACAGGACTCGACCGAACGTGTGACCCCACCAACAGATTGCTCTCCGAACGAGTAATCCATTGGTGGGGTCACACGTTCGGTTCGAGTCCTGTTTAGCGACTCCGGAGCTCAAAACGCGTCGAGAATTTTGGCCGCGTCCACTGGTCTTCTGGGCTTTGAATCGGAAGTGCAATCCATTGGTACCATCATACGGTACCATCAAGTTTTATCAAAGAGCCGAGTTAGAATCCCACCCACCGCCTGTGTGAGGTGACTCATGGCTGTCTCTGGTTGCAGCTCTCCGCGCCCGCCCTGCCCGCCACCCCGGAGCTCAACGAGGAGCCCAGCGCCCGCAGCATGAGCCCCGAGCTGCCGGACCGACTGCCGGACCCTTCGAGTCGACTAGGTACTCATTGGGAGCTTGTGACTCTGGAATAAAAATGACTTTTATCTTTCTATAATAGCCCTAGACCCAAGACCGCCTGTCGGCTTGTGTTTTTACCTCCTGAGCATGTTTATTTTCATCTCTGACAACTTCGTTTTCATTCCGAGCTTGTACGACGCGAGTAACTAAGTTTCGTAACACAATTTGATGAGACTGCTCATTGGATTTGCTACGACATAACGCCATGACATAACGCCGCACTAGAACGTCTTGAACGCATTTCCTTCTCTCCTTTCGACGACCGATCACGCACTTTGTGTTTGAAGCCTCACACCGAAAAAACGTTAGACTTGAATCAACACTTTTACAATTGATTCTAGTATAAAATATCCTTACAATAGCGCCAAGAATATTATACTCAAAGCTAGTATAAAATATCCTTATTTTATACTATTCTTGTTTTGAGTATTTCTATACTTGTTTCCACGAGATATTTAAAAATTTTTGCAGCTTACACTCACGTGCGTCTCCTAGCCTACAATGCCTTTCCCCACTCCCTATTTCGACCCCTCATGGTAGTCGAACTGTGTGCCTTGTCACATGGCTACATCCCCGACCGAAATTCGTCGGGCTTGACCGGGACTTGAACCCGGGCCACCCGCACAGGGTGCCGTCGCCTTGCCAGTTGCGCTACCTGCGCGCGATGAAGAACGATCGTCGGGGACGAAACATGTGCTGATGCGGGTGTGCGTCGCTGCGTCTGTCCTGCCGCCTCCCCCACCACCCATCTCTTAGGGGTGGGGGGAGGCGGTCACTCGGTGCGGCACTCAAGCATACCTTTATGCTAGTTTCAAGTATAGTAGACTTCACGCGAGCATAACTTGCTTGTTTCAGGCATAGCAAGTCTAAGTATAATTTATACTATATTGGAGTATGGGCAGAATCGCTATGCTTCCGTCAAGCATACATATTTTTGGAATAACCATAATTTATTTTTAGTCTTACCGTATCATACTTCAAACAAGTAAAGATGTGATATTTTAGGGTTTAGCATAACTTAAACTTAAATTCAAGTATAACGTTTTTCCGGTGCACTTTTCGCCTCGCACTGAAGCCGGCATGAAGAGCACCCCTGTTATCACTCGCTGTGTTTTGCCGTGCCCCGCTACTTTTACACAGTCAGAAAAAAAACAGTTCCGCGATTTTGTTGCACATTTGAATTTGAACTCACCCTGGTGTCGGAAAGCGGCCCTGAAATGCGAGCAGGAATGGCAACATGCCCTGCAGGGCCTGCATCATGCACCTACACCAGCGAGAGCCCTAACTCCTCCCGAGTGCCCAGTGCACCTGCCACGTAGCGTTGTTGTCTATGTGTGTGTGACTGTGATTGTGACGCTTTGCACGCGCCTTGGCTGCTTTGCTTCTAGCGCTCGCTGACGATGCCGCCGCCCCCACGCAGGCCCCCACGCCCGCCCCCCGCACGCTCGCCGCCCCCGGCCTGGCGGGCCAGCCGGGCCACACCAGCCTGGCGGGCCACCAGCTAAAGTCTGCGTCTCTTCCCCCCGGCGCAGCCCTGCAGCGCGGGCCGCCCTTCGCCATGCCGGGCCTGGCGCACGGCCCCGGCCTCGGCCCCAAGGCGCCGGGCGTGGTGACGGTGACCCGCAGCCGGTCGAGCGCAGCGAGCCGCCAGGACCACGAGCAGCACGGCGCGGTCGGGGCGCGGCGCAGCGGCTCCTCGGACCAGCTGGACCGCCACGAACACGACCGCCACGACCAGCTCGACGGCAAGGCCAAGGACCTGTCCAAGGACCTGTCCAAGGACCTGTCCTTCTTCAGCCGCCTGCTGTCGCGGCGCTCCGGCAAGAAGAAGAAGGGCGAACGCGCCACGGAGCAGCCGCCCGCCCCCGTGCTGCCGCCGTCCGCCGGCCCCGCGGCCTCGGCGTACTACAGCGTGTACGCGGCCAAGGAGGACGACGCGCACGCCGCGCACGCCGCGCCCTGCAGCCTGCCGACGCGGCGGCTGGACGAGAAGGGCCGCTACGTGGCCGACGAGGCCGCGCAGCAGCCCGCCGTGCCGCCCGGCGGCCTCACCACGCACTTCCTGAGCGGCGCCAATGCGCGCGCCCGCCAGCGACGCGAGCCCATGACCCTGCCACCCAGCGGGCTGCACGCCGACGCGCGCCTCGAGGACTTGAAGGACGACGCCACCGCCGCGCGCACCACCACGCCCCTGGACGGCGTGCCCGTCCCCGTCATGCTGCAGCCCGCCGTGCTGGAGCCCGCCGTGCTGCCGCCCCCGCCCGGCCGCATGCAGGTCTCGTACTCCACCTCACCGCCGCCGCCGCTGTGGCCGGCGGGGGAGACCAAGGTGGTGGAGCTGATCGAGAAGACCCCCGAGGCGAGGAGCCAGTTCGAGCAGGAGAGAGAGAGGGAGGGCAAGCTGCGCGCGTCCTCGTCGTCCTCGTCGCGCATCCCCGGCTTGTCGGCGTTCCAGCAGCGCGTCGCCATGGTCGCCGACGAGGCGGCCAAGGACTCGGCGTCGGGCGAGGACGCCGTGCGCTTGCGGCGAGGACCGTCCTCGGACTCGCAGCCCCAGCAGCCACCCAGCCTCCCCGCCGGTCAGGGCTTCGGCCCAGCCAAGGAGAAGGAGGCGCCCAGGAACTTGGACGAGGAGGCGGGCGCCGTGTCCCTCACGGCGTCGGAGGGAGAGACGTTCTCGGGCGCACCGGACTCACTAGAGCCCTCCTGCATCCAGAAAGCAACCCCAGTCCCCGCACCTTCTGCCGCACCGGCCCCCGTCCTGCCCGCTGCGCACCAGCAGCAGCAAGAGGCGACCCCGCGGCCCCGGGCCCCCAGCAGCGAGGCCTTGAGCGCCTCCACCAGCAGCGCCCCCAGGCAGGCCATCGGCGCCAAGGGTAAGTCGTCGTCTATCGAGAGCTTGGCGTCGCCGCCGCCGCCGCCGCTGCTGCCCAAGGCGGCGTCCAGCGACAGCATCACGGGCATGCACCAAGTCACCATCCCGCTGGGCTCGGCCGGAGTGAGCATCACGCAGCGAGTTGCAGAGCCCGTCGCGCTGCCCGCTTTGGCCGCCGCGGCCGCCGCCTGCGCCGCTACGCCCACGGCGTTAACGTCGTCCACGGAGGAGCCGCACTGTGTCACCGTCGCATGCGTGTCTCACCCCGCCTCGGCCCCCGCCACCTCCACCCCCGCCACTCCCACCCCCGCCAGCACGCAACCACCCCGTAGCGGCGCCCCCGCCGTCACGCTTGTCAACCTACCTAGTCCGGCGGCGTCCTCCCTGACGGCCAGCTCGGCGGACAGCCGCGCAGACAGCCCGACGGACGCGGACGGCCCCGTCGAAGCGGACAAAGCAGCAGACAAACTGGGCGACAGACCCGCGGACGAACCGGCCGACAGAACGGCCGACGGACCGGAGAAGACTGACAAGACTGAGAAATGGGATCTGCCGGCAGAGCGAAACAGCGGAGAGAGGCTGGCCGCCCTGCTGCGGCCGACCGTGCCCACCGTGCCCACACTGCAAGCCCTGCAGCGGAAGAGTCTGCCGCCCATGCCGCTCGCCGCGGATCGAGTGGAGCAGCCCGCCGGCGCCAAGGCCAAGGTGCCCGAGTTCATGCGCGTGCAGCTGAACCGCGTGGACAGCAAGCCCGCCGTCAACGTGGTGCTGTCGACGGCTACCTCTCCGGAGCGCGGCAGTCGCGGCAGCATCGGCTCGCTGGACCCGTGGGCCGTGGAGGAGGTGATGGTGGAGGCGTCGCTGCCGGCGTCCCTGCTCGGCCTGCGCTCCAAGCGCTCGGCGAGTAAGGACGACTTGGCGGGCTCGCCGCCGACCTCGCCGCTGTCCGCGTCGCCGCCCAAGGTGCGGTCCGTCGCCACCGTGCCGCCCCGGCCGTGTAACCCGGCCGCCGTGCTCCAGCCCCAAGCCCTGGGCCGCAAGCCGCAGACCCAACCGCCACCGGCCAAGCGGCCGCTCTGCCTGTCCGAGGACAACAACAACGTCATCATCGTCGAGAAGAAGGACCTGAAGAAGGCGGGCGAGCAGGGCCCAGAGGACGCCGCGCCGGCCGGCGTCGGCAGGAGGACGGCGTCGCGCGACTCGCTGCAGTCCAGCACGGAGGAGAAAGACAAGAGCAGGGACTCGTCCGTCAGCCCGGTGCTCGACGGCGTGGTGCTGCGCAGGAAGTCGCTGCCCCGCGAGGCCCTCGGCCAGGACAAGGCCCGCGACGACACCCCCGAGCTCATGAAGGTCTTCGCGCGGCGCTCCCTCAAGGTGCGCGACTCGGAGGGCGAGCTGAGTCTGCCGCCGCTGCCAACGCCGCTGCCGAGGGACTCGAGCGTAAGTACGAAGCTTGCTAGGTTCAAATGGTGGGGGGTGGGGGTAAGCAGTGATGAGGAATCTTCCTCGTGGGTTGGGTCCTTTGAAGGGTTCGCACCGCGCGCGAGGAGCAAGCGAACCGTGGTCGCCCCCCGGCGAGTATAGTCAGTGGCCACCATAAGTAGGTTACTGTACTGCTAGGGAGACCGATCCACCGGCAGGGGATGAAAATGGGACACTCTTTTTCTTGAGTCGAATCAACCAGAAACAGTGTGTCCCATTTTTACCCCTCCCATGATCAGCCCAGGCAAGCGCCTAGCGAGCAGGCCTGCCCACCCGGCCGCGAAGTAAGCCGCGCTGCATCCGAGAGGCAGCCCAGCCCAGGCTCTTGCGCTGTGCCAGATTCAAAAGCAGCGTTTGGGGAGGGAAGGAAAGGCAGTCCAGTCGGGCGGAGTGACTGGACTGAGCGCCGCCGTCCATTGGCTCTGCCTCACGTGTGTCTCCTTTGCTCCAGGTCCCCGTCGTTGAGCCGCCGCAGGCCTCGCCGCCGCAGCAGCGCGCCAACCGCGACAGCGACAAGGAGAACGAGAGCTCCGAGTCGCCGTCGACGTCGCCGAAGTCGTCGCCGAAGACGTCCCCGAAGGAGGAGAGGGCGGTGACGGTGGCAGCGGGCGCGCGCTTCCAGCGTTCGGTGCCGCAGCCGTCGCAGGAGCAGCCGCCCCGGCCGGCGCCTTTGGGGGAGAAACCGACCAAGCCCGCCAAGCCCGCAGCGGCCCTCGAGCTCATCATCAAGGACAACAACAGCAACCGGCTGAGGGTGCGCAAGCCGGACAACGCGCTGTCCAACGGTGGCGCCGCAAACAACAATAACCACAACAATAACAACAATATTCTGAACAACGGCGCCGAGAAGACCGAGAAGACGGTGGCCGCGGTGGCGCCGTCCAGCGTCGTGGCCAAGATGTCGGCGCGGTGGACGCTGCCCGCAGAGACCAAGCCGCCGGCCGGCGTCCCCGTGGTCGCGAGCACGCCCGCCGTGGTCGCCGCGGAGGCGGAGGCGGACGTCGCGGCGGAGGACGCCAACAGCGCCGTGCCCAAGTTCAAGCGCATCCAGCAGCGGCGCGAGGAGTGGGAGCAGCGCGCCAAGCAGAGCAAGTCCCTGCAGAGGGCCGCGCAGTGACTCGCGGTGCGCGCGCAGTCAGCAGTCTAGTCTCGTCCTCGACCCTGTCGAATTTCGTCTGCCTAGGACACACAAGTCAGTGCATGGCATCCAGCTTAGGTAGCTTTTCTCTTATATACAGGAAATCTTGATAGATATCAAACATGTTCGCGTTCGGCGAGTAGACTACTCGTGTGCGTTACTATTGCCTGCCTGCATTCTGTTCTTCCTTGTACCATTATTCAATTGGTTTCTTTCTGTAGTTCAGAATCTTTTTGACCTTTGCTGACACAAAACTTGTGTTATGCCTGTTGGTAAAATAGTAGATATCTATCTTAGATTTCTTGTTTATTTTAGGTGTCTTGTACCTTTATAGGTATAAATGTGAAATATTATTGTATATTTTGTAATTTATGTATTTATGTGTATACACTCTCTTGTTATCTGTTGTACTAATTTCAGCTAAATTGACAAATGTGATTTGTTTTTATTTGACAGAGGCATACAGTTAGTTTTAGAGATGCAGTAACATAAGTTTAGGTTGACTGCTTACTTCTGTAAATTTTCAATGTGATATGCGTATTAGACGTGATGTGATTCATGTACATTGTGTTGTAAGATTTTGAAATATGGCCATAGTGATAAAGTACCTATCCCTATTCTTGATTTCGTCCAGATACCTCCTTTACCTGGAGTGTATACGGTTATAGGAAGCATAGAGAAGTTTTCCCAGAATTTTTGTCTTATCTCCATTCATATCAATATCACAACACATTAAATCAGGCAAAATCGTGTAGAAAACTTTAAAAAAATTTATTCATATTCATCAGTGCCAAAGATAGCATCTTACTGTTTGCAACATATTCACTACCTGAAAATCTCAAGCTCTTAAAATAGCTTCCGCACTAGAAGATATCTGTAGAAGAGCTGCTTGTCAGGAAATGAGTGTTATCTTATCACACATTTTTCCTTATTTGTCATGCTAATTTTTTCTGTTTAGCTGTGAAAATCCCGATCTACCAGAGCACTTGGGGGTTGGATTTAATGTTATCCTCAGAAATGACATTGATTGCTACCACTGTATTGTCTACCTTTTTTTTTCTCTTGCTGATCATATTATCATTCCTTGCCTGGGTCTTGGCATTATAGACCTTTGAGCAAGTTACATGGTTTTGCCAAAACTGTTGGCTGTGTTTTATGAACTTCAATATTAATTGTAACATTTGCTGTAAACTGCATCAATGTATTGATATTAACAACACAATGTTTTGAGTATGTACTGATGTAGAGTATAAATGTGTCTATTGATTGGAAAGTACTCAATAGTTTATAAAATGAATAAATCTCCAAAATATTTGTTGAAATTTTATTAAGTTTCTAGCTTTCTTTTTTGCTCCCAACACTTTTGGACCTCGAGGCCATTAGAAGTCTGTTTCAATCGCAAAATGGTAGAATTGGAGCCGACGCCGCCGGGCTGGAGAGGTAGGCAAGTTATCACATGCCCCTTTCCTGAACCAAATGAAAGTAAGTCATGAATTTGAATTTCAGTTGATTGCACTTGGCGCAATTAGTTTACATAGGCCATCAAACCAGGATCAAATAACAGAACAACCACATGTAAAATATAATGTCTCATTTTTTTGTCATTTTAATTAAACATTTTTACATAAACTGCCCATAAAACACTTTCTTTTCAACATACATAACGTTTATATAAGGACTAAGTTAAGTAGAGCATCATCACTAAAATTATATTTAATAGAGCCTGTAGCTGCACAGAAGCCACAAATAAAGAAATCTTAACAGTTAATAGGGGGAAAATGCTTGTAGTACGGTAACCAAATGCCGGTAAAAAAAAAATACAACAAAAAGTCCCCGACACAACGAAAAATCAAAACGTATTTGGTTTGCAAGTTGATACTGTCGCACGGCCAATTGGCGTGGCCGCTACATGGCCGTGAAGGTCCTGGCGGGCCCGGACTCGCGCACCACGCAGATCCTGTCGTTCTCCTGGATGATGACGGGCTCGGTGCACACGACGCGACGCAGCGTGTCCTGCTGCTCGCACTGCTCCGGGTCGCCCAGGTCCTCCTGCTTCATGAGCGCCTCCATGTCGGCCAGGTCTAGAACACAAGGCAGCATGCAGGCACACGAACAGCCCTTTGCTCAAGGAAGCAAGCAGGCACACCCCTAGGGCAACAGCCCTATGCGTTCTGCCGAAACTACCGGCTGAATATGACCTGCGGTTAGATTCATTCAACACTTCTCATCCCTTTCCACAATTTCCCAAAAAGGTGGCCCATGACCCTTAACTACCGTTTAATACTTTTTAAAATTCAAGGGGCAGTTCATTTTGAATGGCCTGTACGGCTTTCGAGCGCGGAGTATCGTCGGAGCCAGATCTCTTCTCGATTCTGCTGCTAAGCTGGTAATGCAACCACACGGTAAAAACGGTTCCTGGTTTTCCCAGGAACTTCCTGGAAATCGCCTATGTCTCTACCATTGGCTTCCTGGGAAAACCAGGTACCGTTTTTACCGTGCACAGCAGCTCACCTCAAGGCCGAGGCTCTAAACTGTGAGGAGGATCTACTTCATCATGTCACATGGAGCGCTTTATGCGGATAATCGACTGCAAGTAGACTCGAAGGACTGCGCAGCTCGTGTTCTAGGTTGTATTCCCTTGGCACACACGGGCCCCACCTCGCGCCTGACGGATCAATGCGCAGCCGCGGGGTATCGCCGCGGCCCTTAGACGCGGGGTATTCGCGCGGAAAGCTTGAGAAAATCGGCCTTTCAAACAGAATACGGCAAGTTTCAGTCGACTTGGTCAGTCACGAAACATTTTCATTCCGCGGTGCTATTACAATATCCCAATTTAGTGATAAGTTCAGTTGCTGAGTGACCAAATGACTTGTTGGAAAATTGGTGCTGACGACAAGGGCCTGTCAAGTTGCCGCGCGCGACTAAGAAGGGTCTCCATGTTTCATGACTGTCCGAAGGGCACCAATGAATTCGTTACCCGAGCTTCAATTTCTATGAAGGATGTCGCATTTCCCCCGAGGGCCCCTAAGGGCTCCAACCTTGGCAGCCCTTGGCAGCACTGGGTCGCTGGGGGTGGCGTGGGGTGGCGCTCGGGTGGCGCTCGGGTGGCGCTCGGGTGGCGCCGCGCCCTACCCGCCTAGAGAGGCCCTACTGGGTGCCACGCTGCCACGCCTCGGCGCGATCTCGCCCGATCGTTGTTTCGGCCGGCGCCGCGCTGTGCCGCGCAGTGCCGCGCAGTGCCGCGCAGTGCTGCACCCTGGCGGCGGGCCTCGGCACCAAAGCCGCAGGCAGGGCGCCGCAGGGCGCCGCGGGGCGCCGCCGGGCCTACCACTCACCTGCAGGGAAGGACGGCGCTCGGTACTGCAAGTGGTGCATGTAGGGGTGCAGCTCGGTGAGCTCGGGGTAGGGGGTGGAGGGGGTGGGTGGCGAGCAGGCCCGCACGGCCACAGGGACGCCGTCCAGGACGCCGTAGTCGCAAAAGCCGAACGGCGAGTAGGGCGGGGAGCAGGGGGGTGCGGGGAACACTGAAACACAGAGGGCGCGTTGTAGTGCCCGCAGCAGCCTGCAGGCACCGGGCCGCCCCGGGCTGACATGACGGCCGCATGTCCGACGGAAAGAACCCGCAACAAACTCGATCTGGAAGCGGAACCAGCTGGAACCAACATGGAGTCCAGTCGCAAGCGGGGGGCGGTATCTGCTCTACAAACTGGACTGTGTGCATAACACACTCCACTCCACCCGGAGCTTGCCGGCCCGCATGCACACTTCAACGAGCAGTCTTGAGTGAACGCACATGCAGGCATGCTCCAGTTGCAGTGTAGTTCAGTTCAGTTTGTCGAGTATTTCTAGTTTCCGTGACACTGCTTCTAACGCTTGAAAATCTCACCGGTTTCAGGCGAGTTTCGAGAAAATCGTTACACCGCGCCCCTGCCACGCGTTAAGCCTGTACCGCCGTAGGTTGGCGTCGCAACATGCAATATCACATGCGGATGATGGGTTTCATGCCTTGATGCAAGCTGAGGCAAAGACAGAGTCAACCAGGTGTTGCCGCGGGCATGCAGTCCTCCAAACATGATACTCGAAAGCCTGAGGTGACCCTAGGGTACGCTGACCCTGGCAGCTACGAGCAGTGCGCTTGTCTTCCTTTTCACCATCCCTCTCACCACTTGGTCCCCGTTGCATGCTGGGATGCTTGGGTGCAACACCTTACCTCGGCGACGAACCGCGCCCTTAACCAGGTCGCGGCGGACCGCTATGCCGTAGCCCACGGCTCGCTTCCCGGGACGGTCACTAAAGCTCCAGTCATCGCTCAGGTGGGGAGCCTTACATGTCCTGTCGGGGTATCCTGTCGGGTAGCCGGGAGGGAATGACTGCGATTCACTGCTGAGGTAGTACAGGGGAGGCCAGTCGGGGGGTGCTGGGGGTCCGAGCAGGGAGTCTCCTAACAGCTGGGGCACGGGGGCGTGAGGGGGAGTCTGGGGACATACAGAGAGACGATACATGAACAAAAGTACAGGGCAAAAGCATCACCAGGAATTCCCAGACCCGCCCTCGAAAAAAAGGTCAATTTTCAGAAAGCCGCCTGGGAATCCCAGGTACTGCTTTTGCCGTGTAGAATACCCTGCAAGTTACAATCAATCCCTTTTCGGACTTTGAAGTAAACACTACTTGTGAATAGGATGTGTGGTAAGGACGCCGTTGTGTTGAATGAGATAATTAGAAAGGCTGCATGTGTTTTCTGAACTTGTATTTCGGTTTGCATAAGGTAGTATTTTGGTAATATCACTTAGATATGGCTCAAGTTATGTTACATAACAACAAATATTTCCTTTTTTTACAGTAAGTCACGATGGGGTTTGCAGATTGGAGAATACATGCAAATCTAAAGAGGGATGACTAAACTGCGACACTTCACACGCATTGAAAACACTTTACAATAGCAGGGGCGGAAAACATTCCTTTACACAAAATTGGATTTGTTGAGATTTAGTTAGTATGAATATATAGGATATATGTATATGTTTATATGTATATACGTTTTAATGTAAGTATACAACAATAGAGAATATCTCATTCGCGCAATCCGAAAGCGGATCTTACAGTAACTGGTCTGTTCAATAATCAATTTTTTAAAAAGGCGGCAGAGCATTATGCACGAATTTTTCTACGGAGAAGCGTCAATCCAAAGCAACGCTAGACGTTTAACACATTTACCTGGAAACGGGTGAACAAACATACGCGACAAACATGATAGTCCACATTGCGGTTAGTAGACCCACAAAGGAAGAGAACAGGATATGTTTGCTTTCAACTGGGAAAAAATATTACAGAGAATGGAGTACAATCTTCCGTAATACCACGTCCGCGAAAAAATACAGACACACATGCATACGCGCGCGCACACACACACCGACACACACACAGAAATAAGGAAGAAACTGGAACAGTGACACGATTCCAACATAAGGATAATACAGCTTAAGAAACAAGGGTTTCGTGTCGAGTCCGCACTACGTCAGATCCATTGAGATTCTGGAGGATCCAGTTAATGGCCCAATACCTTGGATCTGTGCGCAATGGTTAAGAATCGACCCCAAAACGTAGCTGGAAACAATGTTTCCATTTCCTAAACATTGAATTTGATTCGTATCGCTCACTTTAAAGCCACGTATTAACGTATTTCTTGTTTGGTTGATTTCTGCTCTAATTACAGCCCTTAATTGGGAGAAAAAAGCGAAAAGAGCTGCGACATTTGGCACCAGAGCGTCGTGCGCACATGCTGCACAACTTCGTCTAAAACTAAGCTCGATCCATTGCGAGGCAACGAGACATTCGTCATCAATTGGCACGATAAAGAAGATAGCGCCAAGACATCCAGGGAGACGAAATCGTTTCTTGAACGGATCCAACTCGGATTATGAGATCCACAGGATTTACACCAGAACATTTCCCAACAATATTTTAAAAAAAACATGATTTTTGTTTTGGAAAATATCAAACATTGAGTGGTACAACCCATGAGTAACGCAGACTCTGCTTCGGAATTGACTCTTTCAAGATTTAATGAAAAACAGTGCACAATAGCCGTATAAATTAATTTCATTTAAGAAGAGACGTTTTCGTTAGTGTACGCGTGTACACCACGATCGTTACACTATTAAACTGATAGTTGGCTACAAGTAATTAAGTGGATTCGACGAGCAAGCGCGCCAGCGAAATTAGCTAACAGGGCATCTTGGCAGCCTAAACAAATTATACTACATACATTTAGTTAGACTATTGACTACTTTAATATATTTGTTTACTGAAATTTTAATCAACTTTTTTTAACGAACTGGATAAATGTTTAGGGATATATTTAAGGCACGCCACGTCGTGGCTAACATATCACCAAAACAGTTAAAAAAAATAATGGTCAAGATAGTATTTTAACTTTATAAGTCACATTTCAACAACAGCCGTTACGCTGGGTTATATTCGCGCTTTAAGCACACATTGGAACACACATGCTATCCTTTTTAAGGAAAGAAAGAATGAGCTCAAACTGAATAATTAAGTTTAAGACAGCGCTGAATTTGACAACAGTGTAGTTCCTTTTCAAACAACTCTCATATCACATGAATCCTCTAAAACACTCCTTAACAAGTAACGTCAAAACTATACAGTAATAAATAAGGATAACATCACAATTCTCTCATAATCAACAATGGTATAATCTGTTGTACAATAAAATGTGCCTTTATGCTATTTTACTTAGATAAAACCTATCGCTTGGAACGAAATATATCCTACATAATCTAGATATGACTTTGTCATCAACACAAATGGTTCGGCATAACCCACCAGAAACAAAACAGAAATGTAGAGAAAAACGAAATAATGAGATCATTAACATTGTGTGAAAAAATAACTATGGCACTAGTGGCAAGAATCATCATAGTCAAAACACGTGACTTGATTACACAACGTTGTACAATTAGAAACGAATCCATTTTGCCAGCGAACTGTGTTGAATCGACCCCTCTATTTTCGATTTAACGAAGCTGAGTTGAAGAAATACACCCGTGAATAAGTGCGATCAATATGGTCCAAAAGTACAGGTAAATAATGTATAAATGAAAACACAAAACAATCAAGGTAGAGTTCTTGCTCTTTACAGTTAGTAAGAAATGGCAACAGTTTGGATTACATTCTAAAAGCAGTGATATCACCACCAGTTTTAATATGGCACAATATTAAATACGCAACATTCATTGCCTCAACCATCACCGATTCAGTAGAGTGTAAGAAGGTATGAATAATGTAACTTTAACGAGTGTCTTTCGCGGCCCTGCGCGTGGCTGTCAAACGATGTTTTTAAACGTGACTCAAGCGTAGCAAATAAAATAAAAACATTTGATAAAACTAACAGTTCACTATTTCAAATTTTATAGCAATTACTCATAAAGCATATAGCTAAAACCGAAATTAACAGAAACGGATAAAATTGTACCGACACTTACTTTTGATTTAATTTGTCGTTGTTTTGGTCCCGCACTTTTGCCCGAAATTTTGGTACCTTCGAGTCATAAGACAGAAATTGGGAAATATCTTAAGAGAAGTTGGAACAGATTTCCTATAGTTTACACGTGCACGCACAACTAAGACTCACACGAAGACGAACATAATAACATCACGAGATTGTTATCTTCCAGGCCCTTCCAGTAACATGGCTTGATACACTTTTCAGCAAAAAACGCATTTTAAGACAAGTTTGCAACATTTTCATAGGCAAATTCTAAGATAAATGAAGAAAGCCGCCCAAAGAAAATTTGTCCAAAACAGAGGACGTAAGAGGAGCAGAGTAGAAGCCGCCGCGTTTCTTGGGTACTGTACAATGACCAAAATTGTAAGATTCCAACAGATTTACTATGCTCATAATTATTTTAGCCGCGCTCTACAACAAATATATACAAGTTACTTGAATAATGCAGAGAGTTCAACGGTAAACTTATATTCGGACGGTTTCGAACAAATTGCATTAGCTACGCAAAGGCCTAAAAGTTAAGTTTAGTGCAATGTCCAAGGAGTGGATTTTCAGATCAGGGTGGATAATTTGGAAGAGAGGGACGCTTGCCGGCTGGCATTCGAATACCGATAGCAATTGTGCCCCTCGTGCTATCTTTTAAGTTCCGGAAGGGCCGAACCAAAATTCAGATATAATGAAGTTCCCTACAAACATGTAATTTACTTTGAAAGCGACTTAGCTGCAATCGTGCACCTCTGTGGACCGGAAACGACCTATTTGAAGCGGTAAATCTTTAACGAGTCCTAAAAATATCTCATCAAGTTTAATGAGGGTAAGGCGATGACTGTGCATCGTAGAAGACCAGTTGAACGAAAACGTTACGGATATCAAAGGCATGCCGTTAAAGCCACATACCCACCGTCCAAACCCTTCAGACTTAAGGTGCAATCTTGAATCTGAGTCTTAAAAAGGCATAGTGCTGGGTCAACCCCCTAAGCCCGCTTAAGAGTCAGAAACACCCACACTACCATTTCGACTCGTGTGGCTGCTCAACAGGAACATTAACACGAAATACATTTCCATATATTTTAAAATTAGATAAGTGACAATTAATTCATGATATAACAGTGACCAAACGGTCAATTTCTAAGATTCAAACACACGCTAGCACCAACACTTAGTAGATCCGTAATACGATTGGTATGGTTCACACTTTCTAACGTAAACTAGGCCGGAAAACGAGGCCTACTCAATGGTCCACAACAGCCGCCGGCGAGGGGGCATCGCGAAGTGCGGCCGCAGATTGTGTGCCTTGCCTGGCCTTGGCGGTCTAGCCGGTCTGCGGAGCACGTCTGCCACCGACGCTTTGCGACGCGAACGCACTTCGGGCTGACCCCTTGGAAAACTACAGTCTCTACACAGCGAAAAGAACAAAGCCGCCGGAGCTTGTCACACGGTAAACAAAGTGATTTTAGTGCATCGAATTTGCACGAAATTGCGCACACGCGTGAGTGAAGTGCACGAATTCATGCGCAAACATCGCACATTTTCGTGCTTAACTACGTACGAATCCGTGCATTTTAAAACGCACGCTCAGTTCCGCGCAGAGCAATGCACAAAATCGACACAGTAATTCCGTGCGCACACTCGCATTAGCAGTGCGCGATCCTCGGCAGCGATTCCCAGTCTCCTACTTTTGTGTCGGGATCACGAACGGTAACAATTAGACTAGGAACAATAAGACTAGAATTGGACTGACTAGCCGCCCAGTCAGTAGCCAGGCACGTCCTCGCGCGGCCACGCGTTGGGGTAGTGGCGGTAGTCGTGCCGCTGGTAGCCGTACTGGTGGTAGGCCGGCGCGGCCGCGGTGCCGTACCGCTGGTAGTTCCAGCCCCAGCCCCACTGCTGTTGCTGCAGCTGCTGCTGTTGCTGCTGGTGGTACTGGTACTCGTAGCTCTGCTGCTGGTAGCCGTGCCACTGGTAGCCCTGCTGGTACCAGGACTCCTGCTGGCCGTAGACCTGCTGCTGGCCGTACTGCCGGGCAGGGTACGGCTGCACCCGCTGCTGGTACATCACCTGCTGGCCGAAGCCCGCCATGCCGACCTGCTGGGCCTGCTGGGCCTGCTGGCCCAGTTGTGAGTGCAGGGCCGACGGCTGCGCGAAGGCAGAGCCGGCCATGGCCTGCTGCTGGCCGAAGCCGCCGCCGTGCTGGCCGTGCTGGCCGCTCTGCTGCTGCGCGTAGGCGGGCGAGTGCTGCGGGGACTGCTGGGTCTGCTGCGCGTTGGAGAAGGTGCCCGAGAGCTGGGGCGACTGGTCGGCCAGCGAGTGCTGCGGCGACTGGCCTCCCTGCGCGAAGGGCTCGGCGTTTTGTTGCTGCTGGCGTTGCTGGGTGTCTTGGTGGTCGGCCTGCACGCCAGCCTGCATGTCGGACTGCATGTCGGCCTGCATGTCGGACTGCATGTCGGACTGCATGTCGGCCTGCATGCCGGACTGCATGTCGAACATGCCGTCGTCGGTCGCCTTGGAGATCTCGTCCGCTAGGGAGGTCTCTTTGGTCTCGGCCAGCCCGTCGGCCAGCCCGTCGGCCAGCCTGTCAGCCAGCCCGTCGGCGAGGTCGGGCTCGCGGGACTCTGGTGCCGCCTCGTCCTGCACGCATGGCGGCTCCGCGCTGTCGTCGGAGGGGCGCGTCGGCGTCAAGGCCGCGCTGGGCGACTTCAGATCGGCCGAGGCTTCGTCCGGGCTCACCCTGGGCGACACGCCACCCAGGCGGAGCGACAGTCCGTCCGCCATGTCGGGGGGCTCCGAAGGCGACCGCTGCTTGGTACTCGACGGGTCGGGGGACAGTCGGTCGGCGTTCGGCGGCGCGCTGGGCGCGCTGGGGGTCCCAGGGGAAGCGGTCTCGCCCATCCCGGTCGGCATGTCGTTGGCTGCGGGCGCGTTGCTAGGCGGCGACGTCCTGTCCACGAGGCCCTCTTCCGGAGACATGCCGCCGTGCAGGCCGCTGGACGACCCCGGCGTAGACAACCGCGGAGACGTCCCGCTGGACATGCCGCCCAGCATACCGCTCGGCATACCCGGAGACACGCCGCCGGACATGCCCGGGGACATGCCGCCGGACATGCTACTGTGCACGCCATTGGACATCCCATTCGGCGCACCATTGGGCATACCACTCGACATACTATTCGGCACGTCATGGTGCATGCCATTGGGCATACCACTTGACATGTCATTCTGCATACCGCTTGACATGTCACTCTGCATACCGCTTGACATGTCATTCTGCATACCGCTTGACATGCCATTCGAAAAACCGCTTGAGATGCCATTGGTCAAACCGCTTGACATGCCATTCGACATACCGCTTGACATACCATTCGACATACCGCTTGACATACCATTTGGCATACCGCTCGACATGCCACTCGAATAACCGCTTGACATGCCATTCGACATACCGCTTGACATACCATTCGGCAAACCGTTTGACATGCCACTCGACATACTGCTTGACATGCCATTCGGCATACCGCTTAACATGCCACTCGACATACCATTCGGCATACCGCTTGCCATGCTATTCGACATGCCACTTGACATACGATTAGTCATCCCGGTCGGCATGTCATGGTGCATACCGGTGGGCATCCCGTTGTGCATACCATTCGGCATCCCGTTCGACATGCCGTTGGGCATCCCGTTCGACATCCTGTTCGGCATGCCGGTGGCCATCCCGGGCGACATGCGGCTGTCGTGCGCTCCGTACGCGCCGCGCATCATGGGCGGAATCTCTCCGGGCGACAGCCTGCCCATGTTCATGTGGTGCAGCATGTCGTCGTCCGAGCCCAGGCCGAAGGAGGGACTGCGGCGCTGGCGGCGTGCGGGTGCTCGTCGTCGGCCCACGGCCCCGCCGCGTCCGCGGCCCCGCCGGGTGCCGCCCCTGCCGCGCGTCGCGCCGGCCGGCCCGCAGGGAGGCCCGCAGGGAGGCCCGCAGGACGGCCCGCAGGACGGCCCGCAGGACGGCCCGCAGGACGGCCCGCAGGACGGCGCGCTGCCCTGGGGCGGCCGCAGGGCGACGGCGAGGGCGGCGGGCTGGCGGCGCAGCTCACCTGCACCTGCAGCTCCAGGGCCGCGCTGCTGTAGAACAGGCCGCCCCTGCCGGCCAGGCCCACGTCGTTGGAGCAGAACGTCTCTTGGAAGCCGGGCAGGCGCGTGGGCGCGGGGGCGGCAGGCATGCCGCTGTCCAGCCCGTCGTCCAGGCCCAGCGACCCGGGCCGGTCGTCCGGGGCCTGCAGCCAAGGGGCAAACAAGAACCGTCAGCGCAGCTCGTTGCAGGAACCGTTTCCACCCCGCAGGGTCGCTAAGCAGGACTCGAACCGAGCGTGTGACCCCGCACATGGATTCCTCGTTCTGGGAGCAATCCATTGGTGGGGTCACACGCTCGGTTCGAGTCCTGTTTAGCAGCGACTCTGGAGCTAAAAACGCGTCTGGGATTGAACCGCCTTCACCGATCTTCTGGCTCACCAAGCGTAGCAGCCACTGCGCTTGGGGAAAAGCGTAGAAGTACTACGCGTTACAACCAGTGTAACCGTTGGTCACTTACGTTGGGCTCCTTGTACAGCGCGCTGAAGGCCTGGCCGTCCTGCGACGTCGGCTCCACCTTCATCTTCATGTCGTCCATGTCCTCCACGCCGCCCGGCCCGCCGCCCGGCCCGCCGAGCGTCACGCGACCGCCGAACGGAGACTCTGCAACATCAACGAGTGGAACTGAGCACCTGTTGCGGCGTGTTTTGTTTGCGTTTCATGCCAGGAAATTGGCGAGCAATAATTCAATCGAGGAGGCCGATCGGCATCGACGGCGCGCGTGACAGCGCTGGGGTCAAGGCGGACTCGCTGGGCCCAATCAGACTCAATTATTCAGTGGAGGGTTCCCTCAGAACGACCCATCAACTTTTCAACAGCGTCAGCGCCACTAACCTACCATTAGGTTATGATTTCGTCTGGCGACTCCACGCAACGCCAATGTTCTTTTTTAATCGTTTGATTAACCCCATTGGGGTGACCTCGGTATACCAGGCGACACAGTCTTAAAAGTACCATTTGGAACAACTAAGATCTCGTTTGAGTTGCTGTAGAAGACCCAGATAAAGCTAAAGACGCTTGTAGAACAGGCGAAAATTATCATTATGTAGGTAAAAAAAATTGTGATTTAATGCCGGTTTAAATCACCCCAGGATGCCGAAGTCGCCCCAGTTGACGGCACTAAAAGTAAGTCGTCGACTGCAGTGCAGCTGCGGGGCTCCAGAGTGACGCCTTACCGTGGGGTGAAGGCGCGAGGCAGTCCGAGCTGGGCCACTGGCGCAGCGATGGGCTTGGGTCCTGCAACAAAATCGTTTCAGCATGAGGACATTTCTGGACAGATTCCTGGACATTTTGTTGACGGCAGTGGGGGCCCTCTCTGCGTCATTCCAGTTGCTTTTACAGGGGACCTATAAAGTCATAGAAGGCCTAGTCGACTTAAGGGGGCAACAACTTGTTCACAAGTAATCGGAGGAGTGAGCTTTTGGGTCATTTTCATACTGTATACTTCATACAAAGGAGTTGGATGTTAATTTTACAGAGTGACACTCAACACGAATCACTGAAGGCCACACTAAATCCCCTCCACCCCTCGCCCCGCCAGCAATCAATGGACGAGTGTATTAAAATGAAGTTCACGAGCCACGAGCAAGCCAAGGAGCGGGGCGCGGAGCGGGGCGAGGCGCCTGCAGCCGCGAGGGTAGGCAGTACAACGCACGGATGCCAGGCGTGTTGCCTACCCTCGAATCCACAGGCGTTCCCAGCCGAGGGTCGATTCGAGACGCCCCGTGGGTGCGACAGGGACAGAGCGATGAAACGCTTCGGAATGAGTCTGCAGGGCGCTGCGCAGCACACTGCCGCATATTGCGCATATAGCCCAGCGACAGCGCAGCAGAGCGTTGCACGGCTTCATATAGTTGCCCGCTTCCCAGTTGGCGCGCTAGTCCGCCGCACTGCAAATCCATTGTAAAGTTTCCTCGCCACACTCGTGTAAATTTTGTCGAAATGCCAGAAACATGTTGGAAATCCTGGCCAAAATTCGCGCACCTCTAGCTGGAAGCTGAGAGTCTGAAAACTTCTTCTGATATTGCTGGATGGCCCGAGATGTACAGAATGTCAGAATAAGTAGTTCCCAGCGAATTTTGATTAGGATTTCAGACAGGTTTCTAGCATTCTGACGACATAAACACTAGTGCACTCCAGTTAGAATGCCGCGGCCTTCTGGCCCCGCATCGTCCTCTGAGAAGGCCAAAATTTGGCGTCCCGGGCTGCCGGAGTGCCAAATATTGGGTAACCCGGGGCGCTGAAAACGGAGCGCCACTGGAGTGGCAAGGAAGCTTACCAGTGGATTTGCACTGCTGGCGGGCCAGCGCGCACCGCACCACCTGGGAAGCAGGCGACTACAGAAGCCTTGCTGCTCTCTGCCGCGCGGTCGCTGGGCTATATGCGGCGCAGACGCCGATTACCAATGGATTTCCGGAGGGTCGGGAGTGGACGGGAGTAGACTTTGGCGACACTCAGAATACCGCATCAAACGCAGAGCCTGAGTGCGGGGCTTACCTGCACGGACATCGGGTACCACGTCTGCATGGTCTGCATGTCTTGCTGCTGGTAGCCCATGTCCACGAAGGCCTCGTCGTAGGACAGCCCCGCCTCCACGTGTTCGCGGACCGAGTGGCCCAGGCGCTGCTGCTGCTGGTGCTGTTGGTGCTGTTCCACCACCCGCTGCAAAAGACTTCGACATTAGTATGACAGAAAAAGACCTGGAGCGTTCTCTTGGAAAAGCCGGGGAGGCCTTATTGGCCGTCAGCCCGAAGGAGCCGAGCCAGCCAGGCGGTACAAAGATGTCGGGCATCTCTCAAAGACTCCTTTCTGACGTCAAAATGATGCTCCCTGATGAAACCAGGGAGGTTTTATTGGACACCAGACTGAAAGACCCACCCGGGCGGCGCACGAGCGGCGCACAAAGACGTCGGAAATATGTCAACGAGCGCTTTCAGGGTGCACCGGCAAAATGATAGCAATCTAGCTGCTACTTGGGCGAGGCCCACGTCAAAGCGACGTTTTGGGGACGAGTGCCAATATCCGGTGAAAAGCGCGACTTCCCCTCCACCGCGCGACTGTGAGCCACTAGTGCATTTTAATCAGGGCGTCGTCTGCGACGTCGTGGTCTCAACCTTTGCCCCCAGTGCTCCTCCTGCACAAGCACGTTCAAATATTAACAAGTTGGAAGGGGGGCAGGGGGGCGTCTTGGGGGGAGGCGCGCGTCCACCTCCAAGGTTCTAACAGCCTGCCGGCCGATCAATAAGGGTAGCAAAGGGGAGGGGGTGGGGGCGGGGGCGGGGCAGGTGACAGATGATGAAGCACGGCGCAGCGAGGCGCAGCGAGGCACAGCGAGGCTGCACGGAGCCGGCAATCCGGGACACCCCGGAGAGGCAGGGCAGAGACGGCCCGAGGAGGACGGGCAGGACGGGGAAGACAGAGGAGGCAGAGTGAATTGCGGGTAATGAGAGGAGAATAAACACTGATGAACAGCAAGGAGAGGGTGGACGCGGGGAGGGCGTGGCGCGGCGGGGGAGGGGAGGGGTGTAAACGTCGATATGATAGCACTTGGGGGAGGGTGGGGCCGCGGACACGGTGGACTATGCGGGGAAGGAGGGAGGGGGAGGGGGCGACAGGGGGTTGCTGCGAATCAGAACGCCGCGACGAACGCAACCACTACCGGTCCGCATGCCCACAGAGCATAAATGGCTGGGCATTGCCACTCAAACTGCGTCCCGCCCAAGGTTCCGCCGGCCCGGCCCGCTGGAGCGTACGGCCCGCAGACTCAAAAGGCTTCCCGGAACGCGGGACAGAGGAAGCGTCTCACTAGTTGTGGAGTTCCGAAGCGCAGAAAGGCGCTGGCCTGGCCCTCGACCCGGCCGAGTCGCAGCACAACCGCCCGCTAAAGCGACTGAAAGACGGCGGACCTTCTTGGAAAGGCGGCATTTGGACTCGGAGACCACCTTCAAGTCTTCACCAGGACTTTGCCAAAAGAACTTTCGGCCGCAATGAGAGTTCACGGCGGCTGCTCGAAGGTGCATCCCCGTGAGGACACGTCTCATTTCATATATAACGTCAAACAACTATGTTAAAAAGTCGAAAAAAAATCACCACCAAATTGCGACACAAAATTTTGTGATTATATTATTGCTAAATCGTGGCATTGACCCTGTCTTGATTAGCGTGATCCCACTTAATCGGAGTTCCGAAAAAAACGTCAGAAGTCTACAGACAGCCAAAACTGTTTCCCCAAACTGTTTGCATCAAACTGAATTTTCCAGTCAAAAAGTTTTAAAACTGCATTTTAAAATTCCACTCAAAATATTAAAACAGACGAAAGTCGAACGGTTTGAAATGGTTGCGAGACTTTGCACAAATGTCGCGCCAAAACACTGCGAGTGCCTGCTCTTCCCTTACGTGCCCTGTCCCAACTCCCGACTTCCCCGCGGCCGCGCGGTCCGTGTATGGGCGGCGTGGCGCGGCGTGGGGCCGCGCGAGGCGATTGACACAACCGGCCAACCAACCGGCGTCCCCAGCAACAGGCGGCAACCATAATTTATTCCGAGAACTACGAGCCAATCACCACTCTTGCAGCAGCTCGAACATCCCTCTGCATCGCCTTTTTTTTCGCACATGTGAGGAAAAAAATGCTTGATTTCAGTTTGATATAAAAGGAATTTTTGTCCCATCAAACGCAATTGATAGCTTTAATTGACCTCCCTTCACATATTTTTGGCTGAACTGACGTGAAATAGACTGCAAGAATACTGAATAATTTGGTCAAACGGTTAAAAAATTCTTGACAAAAAAGACAAACAAAAAGCACGCTCCCGTTTACGATTTATTAATGAAATGTGCCACATGGCGAATTTCATATCTTGAAACGCTGCTTTCAAATTGTTCTCCATGGACAAACAGCGCGCCCATTGGGGGAATGCATGATTGCTTGTTGTTCCAGACTGAGATTGGTACTGTGCAGCTTGGCCAGGGCCTCCAGGGCCTCCAGGCCGTGCAAGGCGTCGCTTTGTTTACCTTCGCCTCGCCTCGCTTCACCACCGCGAAGCCCCGAACTGGGGCAAGCCAGGCAAGCCAGGCAAGGATAGGAGGCAAGGGAGAACAGACGGACGGACGGGGAACAGGGCGGACAGGATGGCAGGCAGGTCGATATGCGTTGTGAATGAGACACGGATGACCGGGGGGAGGGGGCGGAGTGGGGCGGGGAGGGGAGGCCGATGGAGACATTGTGAAACGGCCAGCCGGTGCGGGAGAGGGAGGGGGGGGGGCAGGTGACGAAGGTTTTCTATTTGTCCCGCGCCGCCCTACCCCCGCTTGTTCTCCCTCTGTCCTCCTCCCTGTTTACCACTACTCCCTTCCTTCTTGCAAGGACTTTGGAAGCCCCTGGTGAGCGCAGGCCCTGGCAGGCCCTGCCGGGTGGGCCGCGCCCCCGCCACCCCCTCCAAGGGCCCCTCGCTCCCGCCCCCTTTTGCCACCCGCCCGGCGCAGCGCACCCTTTGCGATCAATCCATGCTCCCCCTCCCCCTCCTCCCCCCGCTCGCGCCCTTCGAGGTCCTTCCGCATTGTCTGTAGCAACGTATTGAACGGAGGCTTACATAACGAATGGCCGGAGGAGGCGGCGGCGTCACTAGAAGACGCCAGCCAGCGGACTAGGCATGCATAGACCCTGTAGAGCCTGTAGCCTGGCGAGTCTCGGATGCAGCGCCGCCGTCCAGCAGGCGGACCTCTGGGTGGCGCGCTCTCTCTCTCTCTCTCTCTCTCTCGCCTCTCTCTCTCTCTCTCTCTCTCTCTCTCTCTCTCTCTCTCCGCTCCCTCTCCCCCTCTCTCCCTTTACATGTAAAAAAATTGTGACAAAATTTTAACTCATTTCTCGGCTTTAATTGTAAAAAGTATCCCCCAAACAAATAACTTTTAAAAACCAAATCTCTCCCTCACTCCATAAAAAGAAAAAAAAAACACCGTGGCACCGAAGCAGCGCGAGGCTGCGTTGTTTGTGAACGCGCGCGCAGTGTTGACCCAGAAGCGAGAAACGTGGCGCCGCACTCGTTAGAATCCGATTTCGCATTCCGTCCCGACGAGTTTCGCGAATCGAGTTTCAATAATCGGACCCACATGCGCCAGGCAAGCAGAGACGCGCATTCGTGCTGACACTAACGACGTCGCGCTGCCGCCGTCTGCACGCCCATTGCAAAACACCCGGAAGGCTGCGCGCCGCGCCACTCCTTCGACGCGTGTTATACACTGCAAAGGTCTCACGGTGAAAGGCTGCACCGCCACAGTGAAGACTCTCTCCATAATGCCCCCGAAATTCGTCAAAATATCTACAAATTACATACAGGGAATTCCCAATAGAGTAACACGTACTTTCCTATGCGTGTCTTAAAAGTACGGTGAAAGTATCATCTGCTAAAGAGTCGTCTCTGGAACCATGCTGGTTGACTCGGCACAAAGTGAATTTCACTTGGATGTTTCAAGTTCGAGTGAATTATCTCGGTTCAAGAGACGCCTTTGCGCGCCTTTGGTTGGAGGAACGCACGACTTTCGCCCTCGGTGCACTGCAGTGGCGCGGCGACGCGGCGACGGGCAGAGGGTGAACGCACACGCGGTAGGGGACCCGACCCGAGCCGACCCGACCCGACCATACCCGGGCACGCGGCGCCGGCCGTAAGCGAATCCGCACACCGCCACGCTGGGCAGGCTGCCCGCCCACTGCCTCTCGCACTCACGGGGCGTCCCGTGCAGGTGCGAGAGAGGCAGAGCGGCGAAAACGACACTCAGTCTGCCGGCTGGCGGGCTGGGGGGCTGGCGCACGGCGAGGCCTGCCGCCCCTGGCCGAGGGCCGGGCCCACCACGCCGCCCGCCAGCAGGGCCAGCAGGGCCAGCAGCGGCACGTCGGCGCGTACACTGCGAGGGGGAGGGGGCGGTGTCCTTGCACCCAGGGAACCCAGGGCAGTCCTCGCGCGCGTCGATATGAGGCGCCGCGAGAAGGGCAAAAGTAGCAGGGGTGGGGGAGGGGGAAGAAGCGGTGTGGTGAGGTCGTAGCGGGGTGGGGGAGGGGTGGGAGAGGGGTGGGGGAGGGGGACGCGGCAACGGGGTGAGGCTGAAGGGCTGAGCGGGCGACAAGACGGAAAAGGGGGTGGTGAGACAGGCAGACAAGCGCGGCCGGCACAAAGAAAGAGCTCAAATTGGAGGACCCTTTTGGGCGGCGGCTCAATCGCCACGCCAGCGGCGTCACGGCGCGGCGTCACGGCGCGGCGGCACGGCGCGGCCCAAGACGGCGTGGGAAGCCCCCCGGCTGGGGGAGGGGAGGGCCACACCGATCCGGGTTGTCGGCATGGAGGCGCGGCCCGAGACGGCGCACGCGAGCCGTGACAACGACCGCCACCGCGAAGCACGTGTCGCCGCCGGCGAGGGCAGGGCCCGGCAGGGCCGTCCGGAACTTGGCTAAAATCGCTCACTTTGACATCAATGTGACTTGAAACTCTTACAAATCTGTTCCACGGCGCGAGCCGGCCGCGTCATCCTTGGCGCCCCGCAGTACCCCTTCACGCCTCGTATCGACGCGCAACCGATGCATGCCGGGGCTGCCCAGGGCTGCCCAGGGGTGAGGGAACTCCCCGCGCGGGATTGCCGCGGCACAGCCCCCTCCCTTGCGCCCCCGCGGACCGCGAGGCAGGAGGGCCCCCTCCGCCCCCCTTTCCCCCGTCCTGGCAGTGCCGCGGGCCGCGCCGGCGGATAGTGGGCCCTGTACGCACGGCGGGCACGGCGGCCCCGGCCTGCCGCCACTGCCGCCACTGCCGCCCGCGCAGCCCGCGCAGCCCAGAGCAACAAGCGCCCGGCCGCCCCGCCCCGCCCCGCCCCGCCCCGCCCCGCCCGCCCCGCCCGCCGCACCCCGCCCTGCCGCGCCCCGCCCCAGCGGCGGCCTCGCATCAATGTGCCGCCGGCGTGGAGGGGTGGGGCGGGGCGGGGCGGGGTGGGGCGGGGTGCAGCGGGGAACTGACACCTGTAGGAGTCTGGGCAGCGAGGCCCTGGGTCGGCGAGGGCCCCACTAGGGCCGGCCCATGATCGATAGCCGAGGGAGGGGGGCGCATCGACGCAGCCCTTCGCGCGGCCCTTCGAGGGGGAGGGGGTGGGTACGTCTGGCACAGCTTCCGGCATGGCTTTGCCGTGAGAGGGCGCTGCAGCAGGCAGAGGGGTGTGGCGCCTCTGTCCAGCCTCCGGTTGGCATGGCAACCAGCCGCGGCGACGGCGAGCCACCGGTCGTTGCTGACCCCCCCCCCTTCCCCCCGGCGCCCGGCCCGCGCCCCGCACGCGCCTACCTGGCGCCACCGACATTCTTCTGCGGGGCACACATGACCCAGGGTCAGTGGCAGTGGAGGGGCATCGGGTCGATGGGAGGAAAAGGGACGGCTTCTTCCGCTTCGGCAAGACTGACCAACAATTTACGGAGGAATCACAAAAATACGAGCAAAAATAAGTCACGCTATTTTTAGGTGTGGCTTTATTTTTCGCGTTTTCTGGTCAAACGGAAACGAAGAACGGTAGCGGCTCATTCAATTTATAGTGTGAAAAATCACCGATAGGACGAACTGTGAGCTCTAATCCAGAATGGCACAATGTCAAACCAAGTATGTATGGAGAAATCCACACTTCCAAGTGCGGAGTAATTGACCACATTTGGGTTTGTGGGAGTTTGCAAAGTGTGAAGTAGCTCACACAGCCCCTATCTCTTGTCATGGTGGACACGACGAGAACGCCACACTTGGTTCCGCAGTGTAGTAGCCTAACGCTTGCAAGCGTTAGGGCCTTTGAGCCATGCCGATTTCCGGCAGGGCACACCAGTCCTACCCGTTACCCGTTACCGCCCGAATTTGCAGGGTCTGACCGATCCGTTTGTTTACAGAGCACAGCGGTTACGCCATGCTTGGCCGGGCCGCACACTTCGTCCAACAACGGAGTAGCCCCCAAACTTGACCATTCGTGTTCCGAGTCTCGAATGGACGGCGGTCCTGGCGCCGTCACTTACGTGACCGGTTCGCCGGGGGCTTCCCTAAACAATGGGCGCTAAAGAGGCAAGGCAGGGCGAACAGTGCGCTAAATTGGAGCGCACTCTGATTCCAGAAACGTCACGTCACGTTGAAGCGAATGTGACAAAATGACACGTTCCTTGGAGCGTTGTGTCACAATTGTTTGAATGTAGCCATAAATTAGCTTATTCACGTTCAAACGAATGTGACACAGTGCTCAAAGGAACGTGACATTTTCTCCTCTTCGTTTCAACGCGACATCACGTTTCTGGAATGAGAGTGCAACCTTACGCGTCAAAGCCGACACGCCATTCTCCAAGCGTACTGGGAATTTCGCATCCACCGATGGATTTGGGTCCCAAGCGACGAGGGCAAGACTCATAATACGTAGGGATCGTCCAATTAATACATGTTGATTATAATCGCCTCGGGAAGAGGCTGGGCGAGGGCGGTGCTTAGATTCCGTCAGCATGGCAGGTTAGGTTAGGAATGACATGGGGCGGGTGGGGTCCAAACCTTTCCGGAGATGATTACGTGGTATGTGGACAGTCCCTCGATAACAGTGGCTGCTGTGTCTCTCTGTGCGCAGTGATTGGGTTGTCCGTGCTCCTTTGACAGACGAGCGGACGGGTCGATTCGCTCGAGTGGAACCACTGCATTCCGCTTTGTGTACCTCTCGGCTCGGCTTGCTAGACAGATTCCAGCCAACGTGCTTCCCTTGTGTTCGGTGCAGCCGAGGCACCGTCACCGCGCCAGGCTGATGGTGCACGTCTCTGTCGCACGACAGCCCAAACCACACTGCAAAGCGTGAGCCAGTCTCCACAATCGTCAGACACGTCGTTCACACTTGTAAGCGTGAGGCACGCGCCGTAAACACTTGCAATCGTGAGACACGTGACACTTGTAAGCGTCAGACATTTTGGCTCACGCTAGACTGTCTGACACTTGGATTTGCAGTGCTGCGAACGCTAAAAACCACGACAAAATCATGGAGGGCACCCAAACGCTAAGAGTGTAGCGTACAACGTCCATTGGTGCGATGCCTTTATACAACCCCTTGCATTCTCACTACTATGTAGGTTTTTGTGCATACGCTGCGTGAGGAGCTCAACCGTTGCGCAAAGGATTGCGCGCAACACTGCACGATTTTCTGCATACACAAATTCGTGCACTTCGGCGTACAAATTTGTGCGTTACCGAAGTGCAGGTTGCGTTTCGCGCACGGGTGCGCGTGAAAGCCTTCATGGCCGTTTAAGCATAGGGCATTTATGCCCGAACGCACTTCCCGCTTCGGAGTGAGGCGTGCGCCAGGCGTGTTAGGCACCTCATCTCCCTGCCTTGCTGCCTTGCCCTAATCGATTGCTCGTGAGGGGGAGGCAGGCAGGGCCGAGGGTCCGTCTCGCATCGTCGAGAGGGGAGGGGGAGGGGGTGGGTCCTACACACACCCCGACCGCGGGTTACCTGCGTAGCCACCGCGGGTGACGGGGTTCCCGTGGGATTTCCCACGTACGTCACATGACGAATTTTTTGAATGACAGTCTATTTTGACAAGCTTCTGTGCAAAGTACTTATTGGACTACACACTAGAGACAACCCCAGGCACAGAGTGTCGTCAGGTCCTTGTCTTGTGAAACGGATAGCGCTCTCACTGGAAACCCAAAAGTACACCACACCAACAGAACAGATGTGGTGGTCGAGTGCCAATTTGCCCGCATCGAATCGTGTCAATGCACACCACATCACAAACGCCGTCTGACTTGTAAAGCTCCTCTCCTTTTGCGTGGAGCAAACCCGGTCCGCACCACACGTGTGGTGCGGAGACGACACAGACCACGTCTCCTCGTGCGGACCCTACTTCGTGAGGCAGCATAAGTCACGGTCCAGACCACACGCGCGGTGCAGACCACGGTAGGGCTTTCAATGCTGCCCTTGGCAAAGAGGAAGACGAGTACACGCTCCAGTCCGCTTGGCCATGAATGGCCAGAAAGGGACGGGTCCTTCACCGACCCTCCATTCCCTCACTTGCGAGGAGAAGGAAGTTGCGCACTTTTTCCTCGTTCCAAAGTAGCAATTGGCCGATTGAGTGTCCCGAGCAGCAGCAAAGCCGCAGGGAACGCCCCAAGACCAACTTGATTGCCCTCGTGCTCGTCATGGCGCGACGTGAAGCGACGTGAAGCGACGTGAAGCCTTGTTTGGCCCAAAACATCCGGGAGAAGCGTGCAAAGGGGCGAGCGAGGCGCACGGCGCGCTCAAGGCGACAGGCACTTTGGCACTCACCCTCGGTGAGAGCATCATCTTCTTCTTGACCTGCGGCGGGCTGTCCTGGGGGCTGTTCTGGGGGCTGCCCTGGGGGCGGACCGGCCCCGCGGTCCCCGGAGTCCCCGCCGAGGACCTGCCGCCCTGGGAGCGACTCCGCACTTGGTCTCGCATGGCCTTGCGCAGGCGAGCCTCCTTGGGGTTGTACACATAGTCTGCAACAAAGGCACGCCAGGATGAGCAAGCGGAGCAAGCTGGGTCGCGGGGGCTGGTCTGGAAACCGAGGCAGAGATCGAGGCCAACATCCTGGGAAGTCAGACGGGATTTGATGCCCGTAACACTGCCCGGGGGCCACTTGCAGTGGAGCGTGATTCGATTCATATTGACCTGTTGCAGCAACAAAAAATCTAACTCTCAGATTGACTAGTTTCGCTTGTGGCTGTATCTTTGCCACCCTTCTTTCCTGGGGTTTGGTGGCACATCGGATTGGCAGGCTAGCCCTGGGTTGCTTCCTTCAAAATTTGTACCTGCAGGCATCCCCACACCCCGAAACCCGATTGGAATCCCTGGAAGCGAGGGGGCCCGCCGAGGGCCGACGGTCCGCTGATCATCCCCCGGCGATGCTCTCTCTCTCTCTATCTCTCTCTCTCTCTCTCTCTCTCTCTCTCTCTCTCTCTCTCTCTCTCTCTCTCTCTCTCCTTCCCTCTCTCTCTCTCTCTCTCTCCTTCACACACAGAGAAATTCCCCGCAACATCCAACACTGTTGTCAGTAGACTGATTCCGCGAAAGTTGTTCTCGTCGCTCTCTTTCTCTCTCCCGGACCGAAGCGGGGCGTCCCATGGGTGCGAGGGAGCCAGAGCGAGACAGAGCGACGAAGTCAGGAGAGGAGCCACTCGATGCACCTCGTTGCGCATACCGAATTCCAGGCCAGGCCACCTGATGCAATCATTTCTCGCTGACTGGCCCGATTCACCCCCCCTCTCGGGCCTCGAATCTAGCCTCGAATCGAGCCTCGAATGCGCCCGGCTCACTGATTCGGGCGCGCCGGCGCGGCCGACACTCGCTAATGCGGCCGGTGCTCCCGGCTGCACCGAACCTCCTCTTCGGCAGATTGATTCCCAGAGTCGTTTCCGTCGCTGTCTCTCTCACACTCATGCGGCGCCCCGAGTAGGTGCGAGAGAGACGGAGTGACGAAAACGACTCCTCTAAAAATCCGTCTGCAGATAATCAAATTGAGGAGGGAGAGGGGGGAAGAGAGAGAGAGAGAGAGAGAGAGAGAGAGAGAGAGAGAGAGAGAGAGAGAGAGAGAGAGAGAGAGAGAGAGAGAGAGAGAGAGAGAGAGAGGGAGAGATTCGACGCCGACGAAGACGCCCGCCACCAGCCGGGTAGGCAACAAGCACAACGCCGGCGCGCGCCAACCCCGATGCAGGCGTCCTGCAGAGGCAACCTTAATCCAAACCAAGTTTAAAACTCATTCCCCGGCTCGTTTCCCGGTCTTCATGACGCGAAAAATCACCCCAAATACCACCGGAATGGAACGAATGTGTAAATTCAAACGAACGAGACAAAGTTCACATTCAAAACGACTAAGATGTCACTTTCGTCACAGAACAGTAAAACCATTAATACAAAATATAAAGCAAAAAAAAAAAAATTCAATGATAACGCATTACACGGTGTTCCGGTTGTGGAAAAGAATCTGAGCCGTCAAAAGCACAAAAATCTCTCCCCTTCTGGGGAACTTGTGTCCGAGCGTGCCGGCCGGCGAGCTCCAATCTCAAACCGAGCGATTCGCCGCGGATCATCAAGGGCGATCTGCGGGGCCCCGCAAACCGGACTTGCGGTCGCGGAGGTGAGGTGTGCCCCATGGTGGGCCCCATGGTGGCCGCAACCCTCCCGGCGAGGATGCTCCGGGGCGGGGAGGGGGGAGGCAAAGGGAGGGGGCGTACCGCTTCGGCCTTGCCTAGCTAGCCTCCGCCACACCCAGTGGGGCCCAGCGGGGCCCAGCGGGAGGGGGCTCAGGGCGTATCGACTGCATGTGAGGTTGGGGCCCTCAAAACCCCCGGCCTCCCTCGGCCGGGCCCCACCCGGCCCCACCCACGCCGCACTCCGTCTGCACTTGTTTACAGGAGGGCCCGGGATGGGGAGGGGCAGGGGCCTTTCCCTATAGTGTCTCTCGCGGTCCGACGCGTTGGAGGGGGGATGCCGCTTCGAGCTTCTGTCGAGAGAAGAATATCGATGGTGCCACTCTCAGCGTATTACATTTCATTCTTTTCGGAAAAACAAGAGCTTGAAGAAACATTTCTTGGTATTGCTCATTTGGAAGATATGAACAATTTACGTCGTGAAATCAGTGAAGAGCACACCAAATTACTTCGTGTATTTTTAGTGCGTACCTTTATACCAATATCGTGACAGTCGGACGAAGGGTGTAAAGGAAATAGCAAGTTCCAAAAAAAAAAACAACACGGCAAAAAAAAAAAAACTGCAAAAAATTGAGGCTTTTCTCCAACCTCCTGCATTTGTTGAGTCGGGGGAACCGGTGCTATACAGGCGGCAACCCCAGGGGTTCTCGAATGATATATTCCGGTTGAAGGGCGGGGGTTGAGAGCCTTGGCTTCTCGCGATAGGTACGGTTTGTACCCCCTTGCAGGGTAGCCACTCAATTCCGAAAATGAAATCCCCGGTTTTTTTTTCGGTTTTTCCCGGTCAAAATTAAGGCTTTTCTGGGTATTTTAGTGGTTCAAAGGCGCTTGTTCAGGGCGCGGCAGCGCACGCCTCGGCTGGGCTGCCGCCGGCCGCGGGCGAGGCGCAACAATGCGGGACGAAGGGACGGACTCGTATCCAAAACATTAGCTCTGCGGCACAAGGGGTAGCCAACTCAATATTTTCATGTACACTGATTATATTTAGAGTATGATAACATGTGATTTCTTTTGATTATTTTATTATTAATCACTGATTGTAGGAGGTTATTATGTTGATTGGGGATTATTTGAGCGCCGACCTCGGAAAGCTGTTAAAGTGTCGGAAATTCAATATTGATGGCTTTGAGCAGCCACTGCGTCAAATTTAGTTGCGGTCATAGGCCTTCCTCGACGCCTTACTATTCTGAAGACCCTACTCTTTCATGCCCCGCCTCGGGAAGGCATTGACCGCTGATAGTTTGGGAGCAGTGGTCTCACAAAAATGGTCAAACAGTGAATAAATTTCAGAAAATTACCGTTTTTGCTGACTTTGAGCGGTCACTGCATCCAATTTAGTTGCGGTCATAGGCCTTCCTCGACGCCTTACTATTCTGAAGACCCTACTCTTTTATGCCCCGCCTCGGGAAGGCTTTGACCGCTGATAGTTTGGGAGCAGTGGTCACGCAAAAATGGTCAAAGAGTGAATGAATTTCAGAAAATTACCGTTTTTGCTGACTTTCAGCGGTCACTGCATCCAATTTAGTTGCGGTCATAGGCCTTCCTCGACGCCTTACTTACTATTCTGAAGACCCTACTCTTTTATGCCCCGCCTCGGGAAGGCTTTGACCGCTGATAGTTTGGGAGCAGTGGTCTCACAAAAATGGTCAAAAGTGATTGAATCCCCGAAAGTATGACTGTCATTTCATTGGATGATGTTGATTATTTCACTGATTACCAACTAGACTTGCAATGATTATCTTGAGTGGGGTACCCCCTTGTTGCGGCACCGACGACTACGACTGAACCTTCAGAAGAAATTGACCTACAGGCAGCGCGGGGCTTTTTCGCCTTTTGCCCGGTTTTAATACGAAATTCCCGTTTTTTTCCGGTTTTTTTCAGGAGATTTTTTTTCCCGGGTTTTCCCCGGTTTTCCCGGTCGGTGGCCACTCTGCTCCTTGGTGCTGTCCAGCGCTCCTTACCCAATGCAGCCCATTCGTGGGCCACCTTCAAATGACTTCTTAACTCCAGACCAACGAATGAACGAACCCGCCCACGCCACCACAGCGAGGGTCAGGAAGCATGCAGTCGGGCACCCCCAGAGAGCCTAGGCCGAGGCCGGCCCGCCGAAGCGGATTGGTTTTAAGACCGACCAAAATGGTCCAACAAATGATGTTGGCCACCAAGCCATCCTGGCTTGCGCCTATGTCGAGTGCTGGACGACGAGTAAGAGTCGCAGTGGGAGGAAGTCAGTCGATAAATGTGAGATGTGCGGAATCGAACCCCGGACCCTACCGTCGAGGTTGGACGCCTGTTCGCTCGAAGCCACCACACCCAAGAATCGGGTTATTGGCGCGACAGGATCGAAACTAATCAAAACCGTAATGAGAGGGTCGGCCATAACGAGCTGAGACAAATTGGGATTCGATCCGCCGTTGGGTGCCAACCCTTCGACAACCTGGGTCACCGCGGCACGTGGTTGCGGATGGATTTGAAACGGACTTGGAGAGGCAGTGAGAAAAAAATACATAAATGTCGGGAATCGAACCCCGAGCTCGAGGGTCTAGTGCAGGCGCCTCTGCACTGTTGGCCTCGTACTAGTCGTACGCCGCGAGTTGGCCAGTCGCACTGAGAGATTTGTTTCACATAAAAAAATAAAACTTTGGTCTCCGGGATCGAAATGTTTTTTATCCTTCCAACCTTAACACAGGTATTTAAGTTTGGGTTCTACGCATCAAAAATTTCCGTTTCAGCGTTGAAAATATTGATGCCTGGAACTCAAACTCGAGTACCTGCGTTAAGGTTGGACGAACACATTATGATCCCGCAGATCAAAGTGTTCATTCCTGATGTGAAACAAGATCTCTCGGAAAGAAAATTCGATACGTCAGTAGTCGATCGCGTGACCTTACCGATGGAACCCGACACCTCTCATCTCACGGCAAAAGCGGGGAACCCCTTGTCGCCGGGGCCAAACGTTTCACTGAGCCAATTTCGTCTTCGTCAAATATTGCAGCGAGACAGCCGAAGTTTTTGCACCTGCACTCTAAAAAAAATCAGTACAGAATTTTGTAACATGGTTACGCAGCTTTTTCAATAACATGTGTTACAGAAATTTGTATCACGATGGATACAATTTTTTTCTTTGTAACTTGGTTACAGAATTTCGTAACGGTTACAAAATTTGTAAACAGTCGTTATTCTTCCAAATCAAGCTTCAAAATGAGAATTTTGTTCGAACGTAGTCTCCGTGGGTCTGATTGAAGGTCCATATGCCATCCTTCGAGTCACAACTTTCCCAGATGTACTCT